CCCGCGCCCGCCGATGGGACCGCACGTTCCTGGGCTCGCAGCCTCGCGGCGTCCGGCCTCTCGGCGCCTCCGACTCCGGGGCGGGAACGGCCCTCCACGCCCTTCTCCCCGCGCCTCTTCTCCGCCTCCCCAGGCTCCCACCACTCTTCCTTTTAAGTACAAGACATATTCTTCCAGGGAAAACCTCGAGTGCTGCTGGCTGAGGGGGAAAGTGCAATCGACTGGTGATGATTCAGGGCCTGACTAGCCAAGATGGGAAAACACTCGCGCGTCACTTTCCCTCGTCGCTGCCCCCTTTTCAGATGCTCTAGGGTAGCAGGCAGAAAACTAGAAAGAACTGAAACCCAGGACCCTCCTTATGAGTCTGTTGGTCTCAGGTGAAATGGTCGGCTGAAAGGAGGGGCTTAATTGTCAGTGAATAGTCAAGGCTTTACTATTTCTTAGGCTCGCAGGAGAAAATGTAAAACTCGCTTTGACAATGGGCGATCCCAGTCGTATTTGGAGTTTCCTCTTAACTCTGTCTCGACACCTCCTCTTTACAGATAGTGGTAGCAGCAAAGGTCCCTACCAAAGTCCTAAAGCTGCACAGACGCTGATTTGATGTGAGCTCAGCGATGATTGTCGCAATTTTTCTATCTTTAACATGCCATAGGGTAAATCTTATCTTCAGATACAAGTCATCTCAGATTTCTGGATCAGGGCTGGATGGACAGCCACCGTCAGGCATCTGAGGAGATAGATCTCAAGGTATCCAAGCAATGCCAGGGCACATCATTGTCAGAGGGTACAAATGCCAGGTTACCATTTTGTAAGAAGTAGGCGAGCCCTGAGTCACATTCTTACCTAACATAAATCTTTCTTCCTACTTAGTACCTGTCTTGCCCAGGTGGCACCTGGTGGGTGAGCAGTCAGCGTGTGCCTGCACAGGAATGAGAAAAGGAGAAAGTGTTTCACAAGGGATTTATTTATCAGAGGGGAAAGTCACTCAGTTCTGGTCTTTGGTCTGGTTGCTGGGGTGAACATGTGGATAACCCAGAGAGAGCTCTGGAAAAATCTTTAGAAAATTAAAGGCTTTCCTTGGGAATCGGTTTAAAAGGCTGAGCCTAGCTGCTACCAACCTGGGTGCGCCACCTGAAACTCCTCATTAATGATTCATTACTTTGTTTTCTGAGTTTTAAGGGGGGAGAGGGAGGGCTGGGCATTAAACAGATTCACATGAATATGCTTTGTAACTTACCAGAGGATTTTCTCTTGGAGGGACTGCAGGATGTGGAAAGAGGATATCATGTGCCTGAATACAAAATATAAATAGCTGAGCGATCTTGGGCATGTTGTTTAAATTCTCTGAAACTCGGCTTTTGTTACTATAAAACCAGTAATAACAGCATATGTTTTTGAGTTGTTCATAAGAACTGGCAGTTAATAAGAATTTCCTTGGTTCAAGGAAATCACCCAGTAAATATAGTCTCTTTAATTCCTAGGACATTATAAATAGAGTCCTGGGTCTCTAAGAAGGGGAGAGGGGCCGACAAAAAATATAAGGTCCTAAATATACAATATTAACTTGAAAACAATAGACTTTGAATGAACTAGGATAACACTTATGACACATAATTTATCACTCCATCTCTTAGACCAGTTCTCTTAGTATTAATAGGTGCTGAGTCAGGAATGTTGGCTACTACTGACTTGTGTGACTTTGGGCAAGTTGCTTAACTTCTGTGCCTCTGTTTACTTACATATAAAATGGGGATAATAATACTTCCTGCTCTGTGAGAGGGTTGTGAAAGTGCCTGAGATCCTTAGATAAAAGGTAGGATGTGAGTACCAGGGTAGTTATTATTAGTCTATAAAGTGCCCTAGGAACCATGGATGAAAGAGATGATTGAGGTACAAAGCAGTGTGTATTATCGTTATCGTTTATTATACCTTCTGTCTTTACCTTACCATTCTCAATATTCCCAAAGATACATTTCACAGCCAGATGGCTGCCAACATTGCATCAAGATATTTAGCTGAGTCAGTCCTAAATTGCCATGTTTACATGTCATCAATCTTTGTGTATAGTGTTCTGATGAAATAAGCCTCAAAGACTCGGAGCTTGGTTTCCCAACTACAGCATTACTGATATTTGGGAGTGGATAATTCTTTGGGTAGGGGGGCGTTGTTCCATCTATTATAGGATGTTTAGCAGCATCCTTGGCTTCTAGTTACCTACCAGTATCTGTCCCCCACCCCTAGTTTTGAATTTGCCAAGTATTTCCTGGAGGGCAAAATCTTCCCCAGTTGAGAACTTCTGAGCAAGCCTAAAATAGCTAATTTTGGTGTTACACTTGTCCTTAATAATAAAGGGGAAATACGGTGATACTAAGAAAACAAATAAAAAGATTCATTTTAACAAAGGCTTAATTTCCAGAATATATAAACAGCTCATACACCTTAATAAAAATTTTTTTTAAAAACCCAATCTAAAAATGGGCAGAAGACCTAAACAAGCAGTTCTCCAATGAAGACATACAAATTGCCAATAAGGACATGGAAAATATGCTCAATATCACTAATCAGAGAAATGTAAATCAAAACTACAATGAGGTATCACCTCACACTAGTCAGAGTGGCCATTATTCAAAAGTCCACAAATGATAAATGCTGAGTGGCGAGGGTGTGAAGAAAAGGAAACCTTCCTACACTGTTGGTGGGAATGTAGTTTGGTGCAGCCATTATGGAAAACAGTATGAAGATTCCTCAAAAGGCTAAAAATAGACTTGCTGTATGATCCAGCAATCCCACTCCTGGGCATATATCCAGAGGGAACCTTAATTCAAAAAGATACATGCACCGCAATGTTCATAGCAGCACTAGTTACAATAGCCAAGACATGGAACAACCTAAATGTCCATCGACAGATGACTGGATAAAGAAGCTGAGGTATATTTATACAATGGAATACTATTGAACCATAAATAATAAAATAATACCATTTGCAGTAACATGGAGGGACCGGGAGATTGTCAGTCTAGGTGAAGTAAGCCAGAAAGAGAAAGACAAATACCATATGACATCACTTATATGTGGAATCTAAAAAAAAAAAGACAAACTTATTTACAAAACAGAAACAGACTCACAGACATAGAAAACAAACTTGTGGTTACCAGATGGGGAAAGTGGTGGGAAGAGATAAATTGGGAGTTTGAGATTTACAGATACTCACATATATAAAATAGATAAACAAGTTCATACTGTATAGCATAGGGAACTATATTCAATATCTTGTAGTAACTTATACTGAAAAGGAATATGAAAATGAATATATGTATGTTCATGTGTGACTGAAGCATTGTGTGATACACCAGAAATGGACACAACATTGTAAACTGACTATACTTCGATAAAAAAAAGTATATTTAAAAAAAGGTTCATTTTAATATGTCAGAATGAAACTGATTCTAAATGTTGTCTTACTTAATGTCTTCCAGGCATAATGTGGTACAGCCTATTTGTATATGTTGAAATAATTAATATGATATTGAGAAGTGATTTACCTTCAATGCAAATATTTCTGGGACATATGCAATTCACCCTCTAAAATTAAAATAATACATGTACATAGTCTTAATGGTTAAATACTTCAGTTCTATAAGGATCATAACAAAAGACAGCAATCCTCTACCTAACCTTCCCACTCTCAAAATCCTACCCAGAACTTTGAACTCTTATAACTGTTTCTGCTAAGATAGATCTTCCTATTTATTTTTTAATGCCCTCACTTGCTAGCTTCTACCTGGTTTCTCCATTTTCGTACATTCTTTATTGACTTCTTGATACAGAGGAAGAAAATTTAGTTTTCTTATCCTTGAACTTACACATACACCTTTCATATTCTTAAATTCTTGCTATATTTATACTGCAATTTTTACTGAATTAACATTTCATGTTTATAGTTATGACTTCGCAAATGTTCACAACTGAGCCATGCAGTGTACTACGATTGCTTTTTTTTTAACACCTTTTTTCTTGTTGCACAATTACTTTTTTCCTACAGTTAAAACTTGCCTTTTTTTTTTTTTAAATCATTGGCTTCTTTTTCTATATATCTGTCACAAATTTACACCCAAACTTCCTCCTCTCAATGCAGTTAATTGTGTCAGATGATCTGTTCCTTCTGTCTCTTTAGCTTGGAGATATGTCTTCTAAAGCCCTTCATCCGCTGCTCTGGTCTGGACTGACTTTAAGGCTCATTGCTACATGGTCATCCTGGGACTATGCTTCCCTAACAACCTGGTAATCATCTCCTGTGCAGACTCCTTGTTTCCTGAATCCCACACTGTCCTCTTTCTTTTCTCTTCACATTAGTGGAGTACTTCTTTGGTATCCTCTGGAAATAGGATTACACATTCTTGGAGAACTTACGTGTAAGCAAACGTTTTTAATGTATCTGCACAATGGTTAACAGTTTGGTGAGGCATAGAACTCTAGGCTGGAAATCATTTTCCTTTATAATTTTGAAGATAGCACCATATTGTCTTTAGGTTTACAGAGTTGTAGGTGAGAAAACCCATGTCATTCTGACTCCTTTGTATTTTCTCTCTGGAAGTTTTTGGAACTTCTTACCCAGATCTTCTGAAATATCTTGAAGATTTGTCCTGATTTTTTTTTTCATTATTATGTTAGGCACTCAGTGGGTCCTTTAAATCTGCCACTGCCCTTCAGGTGGGAAATGTCCTTATCTTATACCTTTGGTAACTCTTTCCTTCTGTTTTCTCTTTCTGGAATTCTTGTTAAATAGATTTTGAACTTCTAAGAGTTTTCCCATAAATGTCTAATCTTTTCCCTCCTAGTTTCCATCTCTTGACATGTTATTCTACTTTCAGTGAAACTTCCTCCATCTGATTTGCCAATCTTTCTTTTGAATTGTTTTGTATCTGCCACCATTTTTCAGTGTTCTCTTAGCCTCTGTATGTCCTTCTTCCATTTTATTGTGTTCTTGTGTCAGATTCATCATCTTTTTTCTCCCTGAGGAAATTAACTTAACTTTTCTTCTGCTAGTCCCGCACTGTGTCTCTCACCTATATGTTGCCTTTTTTCTCTTTGTTTTAGCCTTCATCTTTCATGCCAGAGGATTTCCTCGTGACTCTGCTGTTCATTTTTA